ATATGTACATTTATAATGAGTAAATTTTAAAACATATACATTTGTGATTTAAAAATTGTTTTATGGAATTATAGGTGACGTTCAAATGTTACTAAAACCCCGTAGAAAACAACATAGTCCTTATAGATGGCACTGTTTAGTAGTATAAAAAATTTACATCATTTATAAAACGAAGAAATTGGACACTCTGATTGAATGAAACAATCATCCAATTATTTAATGTGTTCAATTACAATTTAAAAAATGCTTATGTATAATCATTCGTTTACACATATATCCAGTAAATAATTACAGTGACGTGACAGTGCATGTCAGTCATGTTTGTTTCAAAATTGATCTTTTGATTAAATAATGAAGAACTATAAATTGCAGCACAGTGCTTATTAGTTCTAAAATATCTTTTCTGAAATGTACGTGTATTTTATATGTACTTTAAGTATTTAATTATTTGTCATTTAAATAATTATTCTGCGATGTTAATGATTTATCATTCGTCATTAAAAATTATGCTCTCTTTAAAACATAGCCTGTGTTGTTTTGCTTTGATAAATTAATCAATCAATCTATTTAATTTCTTATTAATTAGTCTTTACAAATAATGTAAAAATATGTGTAGATGTTTAATCCTGTACAAATAAAACATGAATGTATGGGAGCAGAGGATGTTAACTCTGGTGATAAAATTACTGTTTCAAATAATTCCAAATATCCGAATTTTATTGAAGATGTTGATTATAAATATAATCAACTACCCCAATTTTGGGGTCATGCACAGTTACCAAACGAAGTACGTCCAAAAACTGAAATTCATGGCCAACACAATTTATTCCAAGCTGAAGTGGGTGTTACAATTCCAATAAATATTAAAAATATTTAAATATATATATTTATAAATACATATAATTTTATATAGAAATGTATACCATTTAATTAATTATATTTATTATTTAAATCATAACATTTATGGAACATTCTACTAAGATATTAATAACAAATATTAAACATTTTAGGAAAATAATTCTTTAGCATACATGAGAAATTATGTACAGGATAGTACATTATTTCAAGTTAATCAAGAGGAAAGTTTGAATCAACTGAATCAACATTGTCACATAGATGTGACTCAAAAAGTTGAACAATCACAATTTTCTTCAAATATACAACCAGCAAAGTTTACTACTCAAATGGTAACAATTTCAGAGCCTATATCATCCATGAAACCTAGCCGTCTTGGAAGACCACCTAAAAGTTCTTCAGAGTCAAATATGGGGAAAAAACTCAAATGTCAATGTGAAATATGTTTTAAGGAGTTTGGACACAAAAGTAATTTATTTATACACATGAGGACTCATAATGGGGAACGGCCTTACAAATGTAATCAATGTGAAAAGTGTTTTACCCATAGTGGAAACTTAGCTATTCATATGAGAACACATTCTGGTGAAAGACCTTATGGTTGTCAAGTATGTGGAAAAATGTTTAGCCACAGTGGAAATTTGTCAACACATTTAAGAACTCATTCAGGTGTAAAGCCTTATAAATGTGCTATATGTGGTAAAGAATTTAGGCATAGTGGAAATTTATCAATACATGAAAGAATACATTCCGGAATTAAACCATTTCAATGTAAAGTTTGTGGGAAGGATTTTTATCATAGTGGGAATTTAACAACTCATATGAAGAAACACACTGTAAATATTAACACTGGTGTTAATCAATGTGAAAATAACAAAAAACAAGGAATGTGTGCTGCAGTAAACCTTAATGATACTGCATCCTTAAATTCATTCAATAATTTACCCTTGACTTCAACTACTGATGTTAAACTGATGCCTGGTGCAAACAATATTGTTCCTATAAAAAATGAAAGTAATGATGAAGGATTAATAAATAGTGTTGGGATTTTAACACCAACATCAATTTAAATGTATTGAGTAAATAGTTTAATGATGGTTCAGCTTATAAATTTATTTTATGATTATAATTGCTGTAAAAATGTATTATCAGAGTTTAAATTTCATAATGATTAACGGCCACATCAATGATTATGAATCTATAAAAATATATTTTTGGAATTATATATAAGTTTTATATTGTAAAAAGTAAATCTGTACACATATTTATGTACACAATGTAGTTATAATATGTGCAATTTCATATAATACATAGCATTTGTAAATTTACTACTATATAATAAGGTAAAATTATTTTAAAACTAAAGCTAACTTTTATTTAATTTTTTATTTCATTATTTATGACGTGGATTTGAATTAAGTGTTCCAAACTCTTCTTTATTTCATTACAAATAATGCAATACGAAAAACAATTTATATATACATTATTTCAGAAAATTATTTTTTTCAAAATATAAAACATTACAATTTTATCTTTTATATGTTTGTAAAACGTAATTTGTGAAAGCTCAATTAAAATTAGTTTCTGATGTAACAGATTTCAATACCTATTAATAGAACAGTGTATGATCATGTATGGGATAAGCCAAAAGTATATTTGAAACTTTTTATAAGATTGTTTATGTACATTTCTGTGATATTTAAAATTTTAGAATTTGATGTGATATAAGAGTTTAAGTTTTCATACTTATACTCTTGACATATCCTGTGCTTTCCAAACAAATAATAAATAAATTTCTATAAAACAC